ATTTAATGTGACTAAACAATCTAAGACAACTCTCTAATCTTATCTGCCGCTGGAGCCACACCAACCCTATCGCGGATGTATTCATTTCCCATTTTGTCTCTAAATGTAAAGCCACAAATCTGCCTAAGCATTCTCATCTCAACCACACTTAACTTTGTTTTATGCTTCTCTTTTATAAGTCAACATTATGCACCATAAAGCATTACAGATCTAGCTACCATCTTATAAAATTTTCCTTTAAGTCAAGCGATATATTTCTATCATCCAACGTGGATTCAACTGATAACAATCCCATCTATATCATCATCACTTTGAATAGACCTGAGATATCTAAAGCATTCACTCTTTTAATGAATTGATCACTAGGTGTTATAACCCTATCACTAGATCTACTACTAAAATTACATTCCATGTATTCGGTTTTAGAACAATAAAATCCTTTATACCCTAAAGTTGACCTCCACAATTCAAAATTTTCTTGATCTCTTTCTCTAGACTTATTCACAACAAAGATATCATAAGCAAAAAACATGCACCAGGGTACATCATCTTGTAATTGTCCAGTAACAAAATCCATAACTAAAACAAAAGGATATGAGCTTAAAGTCGATCCCTAATAAAATTCAACTAAAATAGGAAAAACTTGGTCAATCTTTCTTCTGTTCGAACAGAACTCTAGTATACATACCTTTAATGACTTGAATATAAGTCATATCACCACCTTTTGTTTCTAGGACTCTCCAAATTACTGCTCTTGGTACCTGACGCGGAGCTGGGCCGCGAGCCAGGCACGAGACGCGGAGGCGAGTGGGAAGCGGGAGAGGAAAACTCCCATGCGACGGGAATACCTGAACGACCTGATTGCTCCAATAGATGGGCGGTCCAGTGTGAACTTAGGCCGAGTGGCTTGGCGCAGGATTTTGACTGGGCGGGACTGCCGCCCACCCCACTCCCTTTTCTGCTTCTTCATTTGAAAGCATTTTAATGGCTAATTTCTAAATATTTATTGTCTCTTCACCCCTTCCTTTTGTGTTTTCCTTCTTTACTTATTTCATTTCTTCTACATGTAAGAGTCTATTGATTTGTTGTTTTCAGAGTTTAGGGGAGGTTTTTGCTTTGTGTTAATTTCCGATTCCTTTGAGAAGTCATTTTCCCCATTGTGAGTTGTTTCCAAGGAAACGGTGGTGCTCCAACTATATCCTACTCCAATGTGGTGTGTGTATCTTCCTTCCTTTTGGCTATTTACCCCCCCTAACCTCTCCTTCCCCGTAGCCGCCGGTCACTCCTAATTCCTTTCCCCAGCCTCTACCAGTCCATCGCATGCATTTAACTTGCTGCCCAACACCTTACAACCACCCCTCCGCTTGTCGTTGGTCATCTGCAATCTTCCATACTTGTTGTCCCTACACTTCTGCACCCCCCCCCCCCCCATTGCAATCAG